TCTGGGCAGTGCTTGCACAGCATCAAGGCTGTCTCTCCAACATTTCCCCCACTCCCAGTAGGCTGGCTTTGGGCGAGATCTTGGGAGGGGACACAGTCAGGACAGCTGACTCAAACTGACCAAAGGGATAGTCCATGCCATATGATATCAGCTCAGCAAAAAGCTAAAAGAAAGGAGGAGGAGTGGGGAGTATCAGTTTTTTAAGACGTTTTTCTTCCAGAGTAACCGCTATGCGTACTGAAGCCCTGCTTCTCGGGAAGTGGCTGGACATCGCCTGCTGGTGGGGAGGAGAGGAACAATAGAATAAATCTTTTGTTTTCTTTTGCTTCCACGTGCAGCCATTGCTTTTGCTTTATTAAACTGCCTTTATCTTGACCCATGAGGTTTTTTTCCATCTTATTTTCTCCCCCCTGTCCTGCTGAGGAGGGGAGTGAGAGAGCAGCTTGGTGACACCTGGCGTCAAGCCAAGGTCAACCCACCACATACACAAACCCAATAAAATTACACACTATGATTTAGTCAATTTTCTTCAAACATGAAGGCAAAAATGCAACTGTCAATGTTGCATTTAAATTACTGCTTAGCTGCATAGTTAATAGGATGAAGTCACCTCTTCCATTTTACCTACATTTTCTCTAGGGTTGTCATATTTTGCCATGTGGGACAGCATCTACAGGTTGCATCTACTCCTGGATGCTTTGCTTAACTAATCACCATATAGCACAGGCACAAGTGATATTTACAATTAAGAGTATAAACTTTTCAGTGTTTAAAATTATACATAATGCTTTAATAAAATAAAACAAAAGTCAAAAACCAAACACTGACTTAAGTAATTTTCCCACTTTGGGCTTTCTGCAGGGGCAGAGCAGGGTCATAGAACCTGTCTGAGCTCTGCAGCCTCTTCCCCAGGGCTTGCTAGTGCCCAGAGGAAGAGCTTTGTTGGGGTACTTCTTCCCAGGAGGGAGGACAAAAATTGTAGAGCCTTGGTTTAAGCCCACTTTTACATAAAAGCTTGAAATATATAATTATTATTCTTTCCTGTGTCATTGCTGCCTTTCTGAGGGAAATGAGCTCTTGGGACAGGACAGCTATGAAGCGGCTCTTCAGTTAGTTTTATCAGCTATGCTGCCCGTTTGAACATTTGTTTGTGTACCAGGAATTAAATTTCACTTGAAAGAGTTGCATGGCCACATTGTGAGTCTCTAGAGAGAAAAACTTCCAGAAAGGTTAAATTTTCAAATTCTTAAAGTGTGCTTTCATGATGCATATTAATCTATATCAAATTTAGTATATTGATTATACACTGTATAAAATTTCTCCTGACTCACAGAAGAGAGACATTTATTCAAGCTGTAGAACAATTGCCGTTAAAGATGGATCTTCTGACCAGTTAATTCTGCTTCTGATTATGATATTCTATGAGAAAGAAAGATTACTGGTTAAAAAAGCCTTTTAAAAGGATTATTCCTATTAAAATCTCTCAAAAGCTGTGTTTTCTAATTTTTATTTTGGAAGTCCTTGAAATTCACAACAGCGTTTGAAATGGGTGGGATGAGGGGAGAGAGGAGAAAGGGAAGTATTAGTTTAGATCCTATTGTCAATACATAGGCAAAAAAAAAAAGTGGTGCTTTGAATTTTCTAGAGGTGCTGGCACACCATCCCTATTTTAAACATAGAATTTAGAGGGGTTTTCTGTGGTATGTTTTTTTTTTTTTTTGTAAAACCACATGAAATAAAGTTTGCCTCAAACACAAGATAACAGTTTCTAACATTTTCACCTTGCCATTCTGGATTGAAAATGGGAATTATTAAATTTAACCAAAGAAGATTTGTTCTACTTACAGCTCAGAAGATTTCAGGAATACAAACCAGAAGATAATTCCAGGAATCTCATCCAAAATCCACTAAAATGTTTAATTTCTCATTCTCAAATTGAGATATAACATTATTATCAATGCAAACTAGTAGTAGACATAGTATGCACCACAAAATCATGTGGCTCTTTCTGTCCTTGAAATTCTTCTGATCATCCAAATTCAGAGAACGGTTATATCCTATCTTCTACCTGAAGCCCTCCAATATGTTCTCTCTTTTCCCCAGTCAAAATTTTTGTAATAAACTTTGTGTACGCTTAACTGGGATTTCATAAACCCATTCACAAGTACTGCAATTGCAATTCACTGTGCCTCCCATCTTTGTACTTATTAAGTCACTGATCTGTGGGGCCAGGCGAAGGAAGCCAGGACAAGTCACAGTGAGAGGCAGAGTACCAGACTGCAGCACAGCGTATGTGACCTTTAGTAGAACCCCTCTGAGCACAGGATGCTGCAGGAGGCCCTTCCTCCCCATTCCCAATCATGAGGTTTTCTTCCTCACTTTGTGTGACCCCAAACTCCAGATGACCTGCCAGCCAGCTGCATGGATACAGACTAGTCAGCAGCATCTGATATGTGGGTAACCAAGAGGGTGAAGGCTACACTGATGAATGTTTCTGGAGACTGGCCTTGGCCACAGGCGAAGGCTTTCACAACACTGCAGTATGTCACACAGACAGAAATGCATGTGGTCAGAAGGAGCAGTCTGGCTCAGTGGTATCATGGGATTGACCTACTTATTTTTCCTAACCCTGAGATTGGGAAACTGATTTGAGGGATGTAGGGGTGACTCTCGGTGTAAGGAAATACAGCCACTGCTGTGACAGACATTCTTCTAGAAGATGCATTATTTTCGTACCTTTAAGACAACAACGAAAGAGAGATAGATTGATAGACTGTTTCTAAACTCCATAAATAATTATTCCAAAGTAGTCTGTGATGATTTCATACTTTTAGCCTTTGAAACAATGCAGCTTTCTTTTCATACAGCAGTTTTTCCATTACCATTTTTTAAGCTTCTGAAAGCTATGGACACATTACCTAAAATACATTTTCAATTAATGTAGTCAACTCTTTCTTTTTGTAAGTTATTACATACCTTCTCTAGCATTTCATCTACTTCCATATTCACTAGTTCCTTCTTTTGTTTTTTTTCATCATGGTATGAATTTGCAGTAGTTTGTGTCATCCAGCTTGTTTTAGTACTGTTCCATTATCAGGAAAATGAAGCATTAAGTAGTCCAGTGAGCAGTAGAACCAAAGATACGCTTTTTCCTCACAGACATCTAAGGCACTTCCATTGCAATAACCCTAACTTCTCACTCTATCCCTTTCCTCTGATATACCTCAAGATTTTCCTTTCACACAAGAGACAACACATGCTGTGGCTACCTGGTATCAACGTACATCGACTAGTTCCCTGGCTGCTAGCAAAACAGAAAGTACTTTGTATGCTACCTGCATTCCCAACAGACATGGACAGTAATTTGAATCTCTCTCCTACATCCCATCTTTGGTTGTCACAACTAATATTCAGAGATGTTTAAGACACTTTCCACTTTTTAAAATTTGATTGAAACAAAGTTCCAAAGTCATACAAGGGACATATGGACAACGCCAGTGCATATTACTAGTTTTTATAGGAAACCAGGCTAAAAACTAGACTGAAAACAACCCAAATATTTAGGGACAGTTCATACACTGAAAAAATGCTGACACAGCATTCCTTCCCTGCAGTGAAATGATCACGCTCAGCCTCCAGCTCTGATCAGGACTGAGTGCTTTATTTTTCTTCTGCCTTTCTATTTATAAGATACAAATACGGATCTGGACTATGCAGTAGGGCAGGATGTTCCTCGTGCATTGTTTCTCACACACACACGATCACATTCACCCGCCAGATGGCTTTCCTATCTGGTCTGTTTACATTCTTTCCTTGGACGGCGTTCCACCCTTACCTCTCATCCACTCCCTATGCACTTTAGGAA